CCCCCCCCATGCCCCGGGCTCCGGATCCGACTCCGGCGGCTGGTCGGCCCTTCGGCCGCCCCGCGCAGCGTCGACACGCAGAAGTTCACCTTCAGCAAGTCGCAGAAGCGCGTCATCCGGCGCGTCCGCCGGGCGGTGGAGCTCCTGCAGGAGCAGACGCCCGGCTGCCCGCACACCGGGCCCGGGGCCCTGTCGGCCGGGGCCGCCGCCTCTCCCCCCTCCCGGCGCCCGAGCGTGGTGGAGCTCTTCGACGCGGCGGCCGGTGGCATGCCGGGCGGCGTGGCCAAGCCCGGCATGCCGGGCGCGCCCGGCATCGCCACCGGGCCCCTCGGCGGCGCCGGCGCCAGCACCGGCGCCGGGGACTCCATGTCCGTGGCCGACTGGCCGCTGCAGGTGACCACCCGGCCGGCGGCCTTCCGCCAGGAGGCCTTCGAGCTGTATGTCCGCCACCGGGCCCGGCTGCAGGGGACGCACTTCTTCTCGTCGCTGGATGTCGGATCGGCCGGCGGCGGTGCCGAGGCAGGCGGCCGGCGCTCGGGGGCCCCCGGGCCCGGGGGCTTCCCGGTGCCGGGGAGCCCGGCCTGCCCGGCCGCCGGGCCCGGTGCCGGGGCGGCCGTGTCCCCGGCCGAGCTGGCCCGCCTGGCGGCCCAGCCGCTGGGCGAGCTGGGCGTCGACCTGCACGAAGCCGAGCAGGCCTTTCGCCAGCTGTATGTCGACTCGCCGCTGTTGCTGGAGCGTGCGGATGGCGGGCCGACTGCGGCGGCCCCGGGGCCGGCCGGGGCCGGGGCCGATACCCCCTCCGGGCCCGGGCCCGGGCCCGGGCCCGGGCTCGATCCCGAGGTGGTCTTCGCCAACCGATCGCTGGACACCTTCCCGGCCATGGTGTATGGCACCTTCCATGACGAGTACCGGACCCCCTGCGGGCGGCTGGTGGCCCTGGCCCTGGTGGACCGGCTGCCGCACATGGTGTCCCGCACGCGGCCGGTCATCTTCGATCCGTATGTCCTGCTGGCGGCCGCCGGGCCGGGGTGCGTGCGGGGGCCGTGCGGGGCGGCCGGCAGCCGGCGCCCCGGCGGCGGCGGAGGTCCCCCCCTGCCGCCGGCCCCGACGCTGGCCGACATCGCCCAAGTGGGCAAGCTTTCCATCGGGGTGTACACCACGCTGGAGCTCATGTGGCGGACCAAGCACTTTTGCGGGCTGCTGATGCAACGCTACCATGCCGGCATGGCCGGGGGGGCGGCGCCATCCTCCGCCCCCTCGGGGTCGAGTCCCGCCGGCGCGGCCGCGGGGGATGGGTCGCGGGCCGGGCGGGCCGGGGCTCGGCCGGGCCGGCGTGTGCGTCGGCCGGCCGGGGCCGGGGCCGGGGCCGGGGCCGCGCCTCGGCGGCCGCCCGTCCTGGCTGACGCCATCCAATCGCTGGCGCATGGATCGGCCGGGGCCGGGGCCGGGGCCGCCTCGGCGGCCGGGCCGCCGGTCCAGCGCTATGTGCACTTCGGCTACTACTACTATGCCTCCTCGTCGCCGGCGTCGCACCTGGCCCTGCCGGCCTTCTCCGGCGGCGCCGGCCCCGGTGGGCTTGGCGGCGGGGGCGGGGGCGGTGCCGGGCGCGGCGCCGGCCCCGGCGCCCCCCGGCAATCGGCTCGCTTCACCGCCTCGTACCTGGGGTCCGGGGCGCTGGCCGGCGCGGCGGCCATGGCCCAGAGCGCCAACGCCCCGACCGGCCTGGAGATCCTGGACAGCCAGGCATTTGTGTGGCTCCCGCTGGACCTGTGCCGGCCGCTGTTGGCGCGCCATGCCCGGCGGGCCACCTTCGTCAGCGAGGAGACCGGTGCGTTTTTTTTTCTGTCCTCCCTTCCTCTC